AGCCTAGAGTGCTTTATGCCAAGTTTCCTGGAATGATGTGTGCTGAGTTTCGTGAAAATCGGTTCAGATTAAGATATATATATATATATATATATATATCCGTCAGATTTAATGTAAATAACGTACCAAAGTTCTAATATTGCATAGATCGATTGATTTTAAGTAATTGACACACCAAGGAACAAATATATGATTGAAAGAACAAAACGTACTGAAATTAGTATAACCCAACCTGTGAAAAGTTTCGTTGAAATCGGTTCAAATTTGGATATAGATTCCACATATATTTTCATCTAAGGTAATTGGTGCTTTTAAGACCCTATATATCTTTGCACGAAATTTGGCATAGCGTGCTGAATTGCGTCTATAATAATGTGTGCCAAGTTTCATGAAAATCGGTTCAGATGTATATAAAGCTCCCATATCTATATATATAAAGATGAAATACTGTTCGTTAGTCTCGCTAAAACTCGAGAACGGCTGAACGGATTAATCTCATCTTAGTCTTGAAATGTTCGCGGAAGTTCAGGGAAGGTTTAAAAGGTGAGAAAATATCGAATAAATACCGCGAAAACTCTAAAAGCTGGCTTTTATAATTTCCATACAAATGCTTTCTAAATAAAATGTAGAGTCATAGAGACAATTTGCATTTTGTGTCAAATTATTCTTTTATGTTTGAAAAATTTTATGTTTCTGAAAGCAACCATAATGTATTGAAACATTTATTGTGAGAATGCAGATCATTAAGTGTACATGTTTTTCATAAAATGCACGTAAATTTTGGGACAAATGCAAGGATGAAAATCAGAAGACATTCGAAATAGATTTCTGATTCTAAGATACATGCCCTAGATTATTTTTCTTGAAACTTCAACTTCAACATAGCGAAAATGAAACGGGAAATGTGTATGGCGCCTTTTAAATACATCAGGTCAATTCCATGAGAAAATTCGGTCAAAGTCTTTACAATACCGAAAATGGGGCGGGAACTGTATGTAGGCTTTATCAAAACTTGGTCCTTAATAGAAAGGTTTCCGCAAAAATGTGTTTTACCCTTCAATATCCCGGAATGATATATGATACTACAATGGGAATGGGTATGTACTAAATTTTGGTAGGAAGATTTGGCTACCCGGAAACTTGGACCAATATTGATAATTTTTGGTAAAGAGGTTTTTTATCATTCAAAATAAAACATTACAGCCACTTTGGTTGAAACACTGGACCAAACTGCCAAAAATACGAATATTGTGGGTACCGCTATATGGGAGCTGCCTCAAAGAGTCGACCAATATTGACAATTTTAGTATGATTCATTCTACCATATAAAACCACCAAATACCAAATTACGGTTACCTTTAAAATCGTGCTCAAATGACCCACATTACCCAAAAAGGAAGCTTAGGTGAATATGAAATTACAGCCAAATACCGAATATTAAGGGATACCGTTATATGGGGGCTATACGAATAGGCAAACCAATATTGAATATTTTAATTAGGGAGATTTTCTGCTTAATAAGTATCAGTAATATTAAATTAGTAGCAATTCTCTTGATTCAAGCCCCCATATAACGGTATCGTTATATGGGGGCTACCCTAAAGTGGACCAAAAATTGAACATTTTTAATATCTTATGAGTAGTAGAAATGTATGACCAAATTTCAAAGTTCTATCTTTAAAGTTCTGGAGGGAGCAACAAAATTCGCTCATAAGCATCAAATTGTAGATATTCAGTTTTGTAATGCTATTTTATGTGTGCTCTGACAAATTCTTATGGTGGAGGTTATCTAACCAAAAATTATACATCAATCATATTGCTAGGCAAGGCAACGTTTGCCGGGCTCGCTAGTATATATATATATAGTCGCCCGATTTTAGGTAAATGGTGCACCAAAGTCTTTGAAAATCATTCCATTTGCACGAAATTTGTCATAGCGTACTGAATTAAGTTTAGAATGACGTGAGCTAAATTTCGTAAAAATCGATTCAGATTTAGATATAGCTCCCATATATATTTTCGTCCGGTTTTATGTAATTGGTGCATCGATAGGATACATCTGTTGAATATACCCAATGTGGTGAAGGGTATCATATAGTCGGCCCAGTCCGACTTTACTACTTTCCTTACTGGTTTTGTTTGTGTCCTTGTGCCCTTAAACACAATAGAATATACAAGGTAATATGTTTTGTAAACTTTCTAGAAAATCAAGTCTTGTATCGAAACCTAAAATGGACTTAAACCACTTTTAAAATAAACGGCTCACTTGGTTCATTGATACTGAATCGAGGTTGTTTTCGAAATCAGCAAACAATAATTTATGAAATTCTATATTATATCTGGAATATGGTCTGCAATGACATTAAATTCAAAATATACAAATTTACTTAGAAACATGTACGTAATTTTGAAAATACAGGGCATTAATTCGTATAGTTCCTAATTAAGTCATTTTTCTGATACTCACCATCGGTTATTTTTCTTGGTTTATATTCCTTCCACAAGTTAAATTTGCAACATGCATAGATGCTGTTGTCATTTTTGTAACATTCCGATATTTCTTTTCCCGTTATGGCTGCTGGACAGTCTTTTATAGGCGTACATATTCCATGTGAATTATCTGGAAATTTACAATCTAACTGCAACTGATTTGTTTGATTGATTTGAACCTCGGGCAATGCCTTCACTAAACATGTGTTTTTATTAAAACTAAAAATATAACTAACCACATATTATGTTAATATAATTACCACATTGAAGAAGATTGAGCATTAGAATTGTGAAAATAATTGCGCTAATCATTGAATCCGACAATGCAAATATTTTGTTCTTGTCGTCTTGGTGTATTGTTTATGAATGATTATTATTAGTATTATTTTTGTGAGCGAGGTTTTAGCTTTCATAATAATTTTATTATTATTTTGAGTAATACCTCTCGTCGTTGCACTCAATTCTGGTTTATTAATATCTGCTTTCTGAGATATGTTTACGAAAATTAAAAAATTTTAAAAAACAACGAAAGTGATGTAGACTTACGTACATGGGGTAATGATAGAAAGCTGTCTATAATTGGAAAAATTCTGGGTCCAGTATGTACATCGGAATTTATGGGTAAATTTTGGTTGCTAGTTGTCTCAGGGAATAGACCGTCATTGATTGGAAGAAATTGGTTTCATGAATTAGGAATTCAAATAGTGAGCAGTTGTAACCGGATCGATGCCAATATTCCAGAACAAATTGAAATGTACAGCGAAGTATTTAGTGAGGGTCTAGGCGACTATAAAGGAGACAAAGTAAAACTCAACGTAATGGAAGATGGTAAGCCAAAGTTTTATAGATTTCGTCCGGTGCCATTTGCCCTTAAACCCAGAATAGAGAAGGCTCTACAACAAATGATTGACGACAACATCATTCAACCAGTAAAGTACAGCGAATGGTGAAACCAGATGGTAGTATTAGAATATGCGGGGATTACAAGTGTACGGTAAATCAAATTCTGTGTAATGAGACGTACCCCCTTCCGACCAACACTGAAGTTTTAGCAACACTGTCCAACTGTAAGTGGTTTTCAAGGCTAGATGTCGACAGAGCTTATACCCAAGTAAAAGTTGATGAGGAATCTGCAAAAATTCTAACATTGAATACTCACAAGGGATTATTTGGAGTAACCAGATTACCTTTCGGAGTATCCACAGCACCAAGCATTTTTCAAAGGCTAATGGAAAGCATATTAGGCGATGTTCAAGGAGTAGTTCTTTATTTAGACGATATTCTGATTGGAGGGTCAACAATGGAAGAAATGTGGAGACGTACAAGAGAAACACTTCAGCGCATACCAGAAGTAACGTTTTTAGGCTTTGTGATAAATCAGGATGGAGTCAAACCAACATGTGAAAAAGTAAGGGCAGTTTCGAACGCACCCGAGCCGACAAATAAGCAACAACTCCAGGCCTTCTTAGGATTACTTAATTTTTATGAACGATTCATCACCCAGGTTGTTAAGATGGTCGTTAATGTTGGGAGCGTATCAATGCGAAATAAAATATAGAGAGGGAGATAAAAATCAAAACGCAGATGCCCTTAGTAGGTTGCCATTGGTGGTTGATAAAGGTGTTCCAGTGAATTTAAACGTATTATACCACATTGAAGGTGAGGAACAGTTTTTAATAACATCGAAGGATATTGCGAGAGCAACAAGAACCGATCCAGTAATATCTAAAGTCATGTTTCACATACAAAGAAAGCACAACGATTTGTTAGCAGATTCAGAAGAAATCAAACCATACGCCACAAGAATAAATGAACTGTCAATTGAAGGTCAATGTTTGCTATGGGGAAGCCGAGTAATAATTCCAAAAAAAAACTTCGTAGGAAAATGTTGACAATGCTACATGAAATACATCAAGGCATAACATCGATGAAAGCAATCGCTCGCAGTTACTTATGGTGGCCGGGATTAGATAAACATATTGAGACCTTAGCAAGAGGATGTGAAAAGTGTTGCCAACATAGCAAGAATCCTCCAGCAGCAGAGCCGAAATAATGACCAGCTACTCGAATGCCGTGGTCCAGATTACACGTAGATTATGCAGGTCCATTTTTAGGAACAAATTTTTTAATTGTGGTTGATTCTCATTGAGGTAAAGATTACGAATTCAATCACATCAAGTAAGACAATTGAAATGTTACGCGATATATTTTCGACACATGGCATACCTGACACAGTCGTTACGGACAATGGGGAAAATTTTGTATGGGAGGAATTTGAGGAATATTTAAAGAAAAGTGGAATTTACCACGTGCGAACTGCACCATACCAACCTTCTTCAAATGGACAAGAGGAGAGGTTTGTGCAGACAATTAAAAATCTTCTGAAGAAAGTAAGTTCAACGAATTTAAAAAAGGAAATAGCCAACATACTTTTGAGACTTCGCACAACACCAAACAGTAACAACACGACCCCGTTCGAAATGTTGATGGGGAGGAGGATAAAGACATTAATGGATCACATACATCCAGCCAATTCAAAAATGGAACAAACCGTACCACAGACGGCAGTAAGGAAATTTAGAACAGGTGATAACGTTTGGTACAAGAATTATGGTAATGGGGAAAAATGGTTGCCAGGAACGGTCCAGTCTACCGGTTCGAGAAATTATGAAATTATAGATGGAAACAATATGCAGTCAAGGCACATAGACCAGCTGCGTAGCCGATTACCCGAAACAACCACAACACCTTTGACAACAACTGATTCTATTCGACAACAAGAAAATACACCAGATGAGACCGAACAACATGCAGTTCTAGACAGTTTGCCACTTGAAAATACAACAACTATAATAGACACTACACCAACACCATTCCAAGGACCCGAGCAAACACCAAACCGAAATCGTCCAGTACGCACTAGGAAAGCTCCTCAGAGATACGGTGACTACGTGATGGGGGAGGAACTGCAACTATGCAAAAGTATCATTATCTGTCAAGTTGCATCTAACTCCTTCTTCTTAAATTAGTGATCGATGCGATAGTGATCGTTGTAATAAAAAATATACTTTTAATTTTCTAAATAAATGAATTACATATGAAATAATCATATTAATACCGAAATTACGTGAGAAAAATATGATTGAAATTTTCAAAATATCTTATAGTGGAACTACCGTTATATGAGGTTATAATAAAATGAAGATCAATACGAATATTTTTGGTAGAGAGATTTGACAGCCATTGAGAATACAAAATACTAAATAACAGCCAATTTGATTGAAAAACGTGCCAAAATCCCCATAATTGGGGTACCATATTATGGGGGCTAGCCTTAAACGTGGGTCAATATAAAAACTTCTGTATTATACAAAGAGAACCCAAATATACCAAATTACTGTCAATTGGTTGTAAAATGTGTCCAAATCCCAATATCGGTCCACATTTTTTGGTAACCCCCATATAACCGTCCCCCCCATTTATGGTATTTTAGGTGTTTTTCGCTGAATTTTGATACGTTAGGTCCTTATTAGGTACCAAATTTCTCCACTAAAAATTATAAATATAGGGCGATATTTTCGTGTGGCCCCCATATAAGGGTGCCCTCAATTTTTGGTATTTTGGGGCTCTTGAACGCGTTTTTCAACCGAATTCGCTGTAATTTGGTATTTTGTAGCCGCATACGGTGACAAATCTCCCTACCAAAAGTTCTTAATAGTTACCCCCTGCACCATAGGAGGGTATATTAGTTTTGTTTTTCCGTTTGTAACTCATCGAAATAATCATTTCCGACCCTATAAGCATGCCCGCCTGTCTTTTGCAATCACTCTAGTGTCTAAACTAATTGAGATAGATCGCATAGGGTCGTATTTTGTCTGCAGACAGTTCAAGTTCGAAGATGGACTATATCGGTCCACTTTTAGGCATAGCCCTCATATAATGGTACCCCCCAACTTTCGATATTTTGGGTTTCTTGAGCGCGCTTTTCAACCGAATTCGCTGATATTTGGTATATTGGGTTCTTATTGCGTAACAATTATCCCACAAAAAATTATAAATATAGATCGATTTTTTCGGGTTAGCCATATGGTAGAATACGCCAATATAGCTAACGTATTCTACCATAGTTAGGGGATAGTCGTTACTCGAAGTAGTCAGTTTTTACCCCACAAAGAATTCTAAGAAGATTTAGCCTTCGGTTGTAATGATTCCGCTTTCTAAGGATATCGTGTTAAAAAACTCGAACCTGGGGATAATGAAATATATCGGCCAGCAATAAGCACCTCCCCATTAAAATTACTTATATTTGTGTACATAATGGTTTACATAAATCGGTTTGTAGAACTATCTGTATAGGTCCACTTTTTGGTATGTTCCCTATATTTACATTGCAAGTATTTGTCAGTATCTATCATTGCAAAGTTCGGCCCGGCCGAACTTAACGCTTTTTTCACTTGTTTGATACTGATGTGTGTTATTCGATGAAAAACCAAAATATCAAATTATAAGAGGGATACACCAAATCTTTGACCATTTGCAATAACAAATATTCTTGGGGAACTAGCAATGTCTGTGCAAAATTTCAGGGCTCTATCTTAAATATTGCGATCTCTATCGTGAGTTCAACACAGTGAAGTGTATAATGAGATTCATTTCTCGATTTTATTCGAGTTTTTTAATGCCCACCCTATGTTAGGGGTTATGAAAAATCGGTTTGGTTGATTTTAACGACGTTTTTTCTCATTAAAACATATTCACAGAGCATTTTCTATATAGACCCATGTCTTGAGCTAATTCAATACAATGTTAAGGATAATTAGGATTTTTAATTTAAAAGGTTAAACCTTGCGAGGACTAGTCCTCTCCTTCTTAGGTTGTGCACAGTTGTTTGGCGTGATATGATAAATATTTCACGTTGAGTCCGGCTGGAATTTTAAGACATCTGACATGTTGTCCGGCGACTTAGCATTCGAAAACATCCACTTAAGAGAAAGAGATAATAGAGAAATAAAACATTACACATTTATTTCCCCTTCGAGATTATCGTCATAATCAGCCAGGCAGACATGCATACAGAATAACGTTCCTAAATCCACTCCAAATTGCCTAAAACGGATTTGGTACGAATTAAAAAAATTTTACAATATCCCCAAAAATTTTCTACTAAATTAGAATATTCGATATATTCATGACTACCTCTGGTGGGTCACATTCCACATGTAGGGTTAATAAGCCTTTTTCAAAAAAGCTTAGCGAAACAACTCGGTTGTTGTCAATACTGAAAAAGCTGTGTACTGTACACAATCAAACTATTTCTGCTCTATGTACTTGTAGTTATGTTATTTATGTGGATATGAATGTTTCATCCCCACAATAATAAAACAAGTGACAAATGTGTCCAGTTATGCAAATTAGAAATTTATTTACTATGAAAAAATGGGGGAATAATGTGTACCTACTCGTATATCAAAAATTAGTCAAAAAGGTATTTCCTTGGAATAACATATTTTGAAAAAAAAACAGTAAGGAAAGTTCAAAAGTCGGACGGGGCCGACTATATGAAACCCTTCACCACTATGGGTACATGCAAGACATCTTAATATCTACAATATCCTGTTGATATAGAAATTTCGCATACATTAGTCGGGACCTAATTGGGTACTCTGTGCAAAATCGGAACAATATTGGGAGTTTGGTGCACAATTTACTTTAAATCGGACGAAACTATATATGGGAGCTATATCTAAATCTGAACCGATTTTCCCCAATTTCATTAGGGTTCGTCCTTGGGCCTATTAAGTGACCTGTGCCAAATTTCATCCAAATCGGATCATAAATGGGACCTGTACTTTGTTAACAAAAATACATGAACGGACAGACGGACATGCATAAATCGACTCAGAAAGTGATTCTATGCATATTCTCAAAAGGAACCATGGGTCTATCTCGATTTGTTTGCCTGTTACAAACATATGCACAAAGACACAATACCCTGTACCACAGTGTGGTGAAGGGTATAAAAAGGGGGTTATATGGGGACTACCCCTAAAAGGGGGGCGAATATTAATAATTTTTGGGAGGGAGGTTTGTTACCATATACAACTACAAAAAACCAACATACAAAGAATTTGGTTGAAAAACGCGCTCAAAAACCCCAAAATACTGCAAATTGGGGGGAACCCTTATATGGGGGCTTCCCGAAAAAATGGACCTATATTTATAATTTATAGTGGAGAGATTTGCTACCTAATAAGAACTCGACGTACTAAATTACAGTCAATTCGGTCGAAAAATACGATCAGAATCCCCAAAATGCCAAAAATTTGAGGGTACCGTTATATGGGGACTACCAGAAAAACTGCAGAAAAACTTAATAGAGTAATTTGGTACCCAATAAGAACCCAATGTACAAAATTTCAGAGAATTCAGTTATAAAACGAGCTCAAGAACCCCAAAATACCGAAAATTGGGGGTACCCTTATATGGGGACTCTCCGAAAAAATGGACCTATATTTATAATTTTTAGTAGGGAGATTTGCTAGCCAATAAGAACTCAAAGTACCAAATTTCTGCGAATTCGGTCGAAAAATGCGATCAAAACCCCGAAAATACCGAAATTTGGGGGTATCCTTATATGGGGACTATCCGAACAATTGACCTATATTTATAATTTTTAGTAGAGAGATTTGCTACACAATAAGAACTCAAAGTACCAAATTTCAGCGAATTCCGTCAAAAAAGGCTCTAAATACTCTCAAAATACCGAAAATTGGGGGGTACCCTTATATGGGAGCTATGCCTAAACGTGGACCGATTTTCTCCAATTTCAATATGGTTCGTCCTTGGGCCAATTAAATGACCTGTGCTAAATTTCATTCAAATCGGATCATAAATGCGACCTGTACTTTGTTAACAAAAATACATGGACGGACGGACATACGGACATGCATAAATCGACTCAGAAAGTGATTCTATGCATATTCTCAAAAGGAACCATGGGTCTATCTCGATTCATTTTGCCTGTTACAAACATATGCACAAAGACATAATACCCTGTACCACAGTGTGGTGAAGGGTAAAAACATTCTATTGATAGTTTTCGGTACCCAGTAAGAATTCGAAATATTAACCTACAGGCATTTTGGTGGTGTAGTGGATCCAAATTGAAAATTTTTAGTATGAATATATGGGGCAGACTGATGTACCTTCGGCACTTTTTGTTTAGAGCTCTATATCTCAGTACTTATTCAACAGATATAGAAAATTTATGGCTGGTTATTGTCCTCCGAAACCTAATTATAAAAACTAGTACCAATAACATATAATAAATTAGTATTAGTTAAACATTTTTAGACATTTGTAAAAGAAAGTCAAATTCCGAATGTGCCCCTACCCAGGGTAGCTTCGGCATTTGATGGGGCCCATTCGACACCATAGTCATAGTCATGGCAATTATCACCGCTATAAGCCTGGTTGAAATTCAGTTTCATTAAATGTTCCATTTTGTTTTAATAAGCTACACAATGTTTAATACACGTCAATGCACGCACTTTTGGTCTTATATATAATTTCGAACCATATTAAAGGGTTATTTCTAAAGACAAACCCAAAAACATTTTAAGGAAATAATATTTCAATATCTGTATATGGCTGAATATGTCCCACTTCAAAAACATCTGTAAAAATACAAAAAACCGTGCATCTAAATAAGTTTAATAGCTAGAAATTTCAAACTTTGTGACATTTATTTATTTTGATATTCCATACTTATGTATCGAAGCTAGTGATGTCCGGTGAGATCTTCATATCGAAAACGCGATTGCCGAATTTGCCCCAGTCTCCCCTGCAACACAATGCGAACATAAAAAAACCAAAATACCGCTAATTTGATTGAAGGTGAGACAATATCTTCCAATTATGGATGTTATAGTATCCTATGTTTCAGCAACGTACACAGGATTTTACATTTACTGTAAAAAAAATAGTTTTAAATCATATTTATTTGTTTCATTTCGAGTTAGTATTGATGCATTTTTAAATTTGGAGAATTATCATGCGCACTAGCCGACCAGACAGACATTCGTAAATCGATTCCAAATTGTCTGAAACGGATTTGATCTAAATAAATATGGGGTCTAAAACCGATGAAACGCATTTTGGCCGTATAAAAGTGTATTTATCCATATTAGTCGAATCGTTTTCAGAAGACAAACAATTTGTAAAATCTATTCAAATTGGCAGCAATTTAAACAGTTAGCCTTTATATAAAAATTGAAGATGCGAATGGGCCACAGATTCCTAAATTAACTAGATATCAAAAATAAAATTTATAAAAAAACAACAATTAGAAATAAAAACTCGAACTTCGAACTAAGTAAGCTGTTTGAAATTCATTCATAAGCTCAAAGAAATCCCACATTTCTTACACCATCTGTTATCTGTGAAAAGAAAGTACATAAATATATACCGAACACAATATAGATTAGTCAGCGACAAAGTGGTTTCCCTATTAAATCAAACGCACATGGCAATAGCTAGTGGGATTCCCTCATGTTTTTTGTCTTCACAAAAGACAAACGACGATGTGACGATGCCTATGTCAATTATACGATCTTGTTTTACAAGCAAAGATGCAATAGCACAGCTGTAGCTAATATAAATACAGCGATTGACTTGAGTATAAATTAAAACTCATCATCGTTTCGTCAAAGAAAGTACGAAAATATACAATTCAATATGTTCTCAAAGTCACTTGGAATTATTATTGTTTTGGCCACATTGGCTCTTGCAAAAGCTCAATTTGGAGGTTCCATAACTTCAAATAGCCGCGGCGGAGCAGATGTATTTGCTCGATTGGGTCATCAATTTGGAGATAATAAAAGAAATTTGGGTGGAGGTGTTTTTGCTAGTGGAAATACTTTGGGTGGACCAGTAACAAGAGGAGCATTCTTATCAGGAAATGCGTAAGTTTTTTAAGATTTGTATTCTTTTCTGATAATAAAATAATATTTCGTATATTTTAGTGATCGTTTTGGAGCCTCGTTATCACATTCCAGAACTGATAACTTTGGTTCGACATTTTCACAAAATGTTAACGCCAATCTTTTTCAAAACGATAAACACAAAGTGGATGCTAATGCCTTTCATAGTCGTACACATTTAGACAATGGTTTCAAATTTAGTAAAGTCGGTGGTGGTCTTGACTATAATCACGCTAATGGACATGGAGCTTCAGTATCGGCTTCCCGGATACCCCAATTGAACATGAACACTGTCGATGTGACTGGCAGAGCTAATTTGTGGAAATCTCGTGATCAAGCCACAAGTTTGGATTTGACTGGTGGTGTCTCCAAAAATTTCGGTGGTCCCCTTGATGGTCAAACTGACAAACATGTTGGTGTTGGTTTAAGTCATAATTTTTAAAATTAGTTATTATTTGATTATACACATTTTTTAATTAAAGGATGTAATTGGTAAAATTGTAAGATATTTTTCAAAATTATATACATGTAGTTAATATTTATATAGTCAAAATATAAACGTGAAGTATAAATATAAATTTAATATGTAGAACCCAGTGTTTTTAGATCTATAAATGCATAAAATTGAAATGATTTCATTTTAATATATAAAGTTTTAGCCGCTTGGCTTGCATTTTCGCCTTTGTCAAAGAAAAACTGTAAAATGTACCGAATTTTCTCTTTGTTCACTTCCATTTTTAACACCCTGTAACTCATAATTGAATGTACCAAACAAAAAAAACAGCAAAATATGTTTTTTTTTTTTTTTGTTGAAGATTGATTCTTACCTTCGGGCACTAAAAGTGCTAAATGATACAACATATGGTACAATGTGGATTTTTGTGAAGGCATAGGACTGAGATCCTGAAATTTTGAATTAAAATTACTGTTGAAGTGCAGGATTGAGAAATGGATGTATTTAAAAAATTCATAATTATTTGTACTAAATTTGGTACAATTTAGATTTGAGTGAACGGATACAGATGGAATCCTGAATGTTGCAACTAAGATCACTGTCGGAGTGTTGAGATAATTTTGGAATATGGGTACGAATGGTACCAAAACTGGTATAATTTGGATTTTTCTGAACAGATAGAGCTGGAATTCTTGAATTTGTACATACAAATACTCTTTGAAATCAGAATTGAGGTAGTTTTTTAAATTTATACATATGAGTACGAAAAGTACTTAATGGTAATAAACTTGATATTAAATGTAGGAAAGTGAAATTCGGAATTAAAGTACAACAGATTATACTGTATTCATTTTCATATAAAATATTATTTATTTGTTTAGTATTTCCTTTCCGCATACGAAGTAGCGGGCAATTTACTTGTGACTTAATATTTAATATTTTTACCAAAATTAAATTTAGTTCGAAGATTGATAATTTATCCATCCATGTATTTGAATTTTGAGAAGTTAAAACTATATTAAATCAATGTATTAGGTTCGGGAAATTCATTATTTTTATATGAACTATAGGACTTTATTTAACATGCTTCGGGATATCCAAATATGCACCGTTTTGTTGTATGATTTGTTGCCATTTTAAAGGTGACTTCATAATGTCTCTCTCATAGAAGTCCTGCTCTCTATTTGCTAAAACTCTACTAGAAATCTATCAGTACAGCTATCTGGCGAAAAAATAATTGATTTGCTTTTCCCTATGCCTAATATCACATTTTGTAAGTAAAAATATTAGTATACTTATCATGCTCAAAACCCATATTTAAATACCTAATTTTATTTTGAACTAAAATCAATTCATACATCATTTATACCCTTCACCACTCTGTGGTACAGGGTATTATGTCTTTGTGCATATGTTTGTAACAGGCAAAAGGAAACGAGATAGGCACATAGTTCCATTCGAGAACTATGTGCCATTCTGAGTCGATTTATGCATGTCCGTTCGTACGTCTGTCCGTCTGTCCATGTTAAATTGTAAACAAAGTACAAATCGGTTTATGATCCGAATTGGATGAATTTTGGCATAGGTCACTTATTTGGCCCAAGGACGAACCCTATTGAAAAATCGGTTCAGAGCGGTTCATATAGCTCCTATATATATTTTCGTCCGATTTAATGTAAACGGTGCCTATATATCTTTCGATTTGTACGAAATTTGGCACAGCGTAATGAATTAGGTCTGGAATGATGTGTGTCAAGTTTCCTGAAAATTGGTTCAGATTTGGATATAGCTCCCATATATATTTTCGTCCGATTTAAGGTAAATGGTGTACCCAAAGTCTCTATATATCTTTCGATTTGTACGAAATTTGACAGAGAGTAATGAATTAGGTCAAGAATGATGTGTGTCAAGTTTCAGAAAATCGGTCCAGATTTGGATATTGCTCCCATATATATGTTCGACCGATTTTATGTAAATGATGTACCAACGTCCCTATATATCCTTCGATTTGCAAGAAATTTTGCACAGCGTACTGAATTAAGTCTAAAGCGATGGGTGTTAAATTTCGTGGAAATCGGTTCAGTTTTAGATATAGCTGTCATATATATTTTCCTCCGATTTTCGGTAAATAGTGCATCAAAGTCCCATTGTGTCCTTCGATTTGCACTAAATTTCGCATAGCGTGCTGAATTAAGTCTAGAACAATGTGAGCTAAATTTCGTGAAAATCGGTTGAGATTTAGATATGGCTCTCATATATATTTTCGCCCGATTTTAGGTAAATAGTGCACCAAAGTCCCTTTGTGTCCTTCGATTTGCACGAAATTTCGCATAGCGTGCTGAATTAAGTCTAGAACAATGTGTGCTAAATTTCGTGAAAGTCGGTTGAGATTTAGATATAGCTCTCATATATAGATTATATTTTTAACAACGCGGCGTACCGAATATCGTGTATCAATTTTGCTATAAATCGTTTTCCATAAATTTTCCCCAAGTTACGCAGACGGCTCTAAATCGAATGAAATTAAATTTATCATAGGTTGCAGAAAGACATGAGTATGTTCCTTCGAGGGAACATTGACATACAATTGTAAGGATACATATGTGCAATATACCCAAAGTGGTGAAGGGCATCATATAGTCGGCCCAGTCCGACTTTACTACTTTCTTACTGGTTTTTGCTGTGACTGTGCCTATTCCAATTAAAAGATTTTTATACCCACTACCATAATTTTAGGAAATAAAGCAAAATTATTCTCAATCGGTTGCAAATTATGTCGTTATATATTATAAAGAATGGTCCACGCTTCGGGGTAGCCCCAAAGGTGAATTCCCTACTAAACAAAACAAGAATAGCTACAGTGAATCCCAACATTTTTTGTCAGCGCTAGAAGAAAAACACTGATAACGATGATGTACTGAGCTTTGATGATCCTCACAATAATGCAGCACAGCTTCATAAAGACAGATGTCGTTCATATATAAATACTGTCACTGATATGAAAGCCAATCAAAAGACTTTAACGCTTCGTGAAAGAAACAAGGATTGAACAACCCAATATGTTCTCAAAATACATTGGAATAATTGCGGTCTTGGCCACATTGGCTGTTGCAAATGCTCAATTCGGTGGTTCCATAACTTCGAATAGTCGCGGAGGGGCAGATGTATTTGCACGTGCGGGTCATCAGTTTGGCGATAACAATAGAAATTTTGGCGGTGGTGTCTTTGCCAGTGGAAATACATTAGGTGGGCCTACAACAAGAGGAGCATTTCTATCGGGAAATGCGTAAGTTGATTAAGATTAAAATTTTCTAATAATACATTTAATTAAATCCATTTCATATTCTAGAGATCGCTTTGGTGCCACGCTATCACATTCTAAAACTGATAAGTTTGGTTCGACATTTTCACAGAATGTGAACGCTAACCTCTTTCAAAACGATCGACACAAACTGGATGCCAATGCCTTTCATAGTCGTACACATTTAGACAATGGTTTCAAATTTAGTAAAGTCGGGGGTGGTCTTGACTATAATCATGCCAATGGACATGGAGCTTCAGTGACAGCTTCCCGGATACCCCAATTGAAGATGAATACAGTCGATGTAACAGGCAGAGCTAATTTATGGAAGTCTCGTGATCAAGCCACAAGTTTAGATTTGACAGGTGGTGTGTCGAAGAATTTCGGTGGTCCCTTTAATGGTCAAACTAATAAACATGTTGGTGTTGGTTTAAGTCATAATTTTTAAAATGTAATTATTTGTATTAAGTTATTGAATTATAACCATTCGTTAAATTAAGGAAATTGGTTGTAAGATATTTTGTAGGACATTTTGCAAAATTTTATATTTAATATATATAATATAAAATTTAATATGTAAAACATATCACTTTCTCTCTATAAAATCTTTAAATTAACTCCAGAAACTCTTTGCCATATACATGTATGATTCCAGAAATATGGTAGAATAGAAAAACAATCAAGAAAAAGTAATAACCAGTAAGGAAAGTACTAAAGTCGGACTGGGCAGACTACATGATACCCTTCCCACTTTAAGCAAATCGATTTAAAGCAAACTTAACACATGCTATTCGGTATGTTGCACTGTTCAAAATTTAATCTTAATCGAAAATATATTAGGTTGGAGAAAGAAATCCATTACTTTTGTATGCAATGAAAAAAAGATGATAATCGCTTGGTTGCAAATTCGAACTGTATGGCGGATCCATTAAACTTCGCAACTATTCTAAATCTGAAGCTATTTCTAAATCTGAACCGATTTTCACCAATTTTAATAGGGTTCGTCCCTGGGCCAAATAAATGAGCTGTACCAAATTTCATCCAAATCGGATTATAAATGCGACATGTATTTTGCTTACAATTTAACATCAACAGACGGAGGGACAGACGATCGGACGGAAAGAAGCATAATTTGACTCTATGCATATTCTCAAAAGGAACTATGCATGTTCTCAAAAGGCATTAAGAGGGCCAGATGGGACACTTAACGCTCCAGAGCTCGCCCATATAGTTTGCAAATCCTGAGTCAACCAGAAGAATATTTAGAAAAATGGAAAATACAAACGAAGAGTATATACAAATTGTAAATCTCACCTCAAAGGAACGAAACACCACGTACATCCAATTTTTTATTATTAATATATATACAAAAATGGAGCATATATGCAATATAAACGGAAAATATAACACATTGCGAACATAAATTTCAGTACCTTATTTCAGTTAAAATCCTTTGCATGCACGAATTTAAAATATAAACCAGTAAGGAAAGTAGTAAAGTCGGACGGGGCCGACTATATGATACCCTTCACCACTATGGGTATATTAAACAGGACTATTATCATTAAATTGGATGAAATAAAATATGTGATATTTGTCTAAATGTGAATCGACCTAGATCTATCCATAAACATGTCATTCGTTTGTTACAATGGGACAAAAGTATGTAAATCGACTTCAAACAAATATCAATAGGTCATCCGTTGGACTAGATCTGTACTTCTAGTAAACTCAAATACGTTTTTCTATGCTCAATTTTGTACGTTGTGCAAAATTTGATGTGAATCTAATAAATATGACGAGTTTGATGCACAATTTACTTATATATGGATGCTATATCCAAATATGAACCGATTTCAACCAAACTTGTGTCGGTTAATATTTAGGAAATGAAAATGACCAAATACTAATTTGTTTGTCGGTTTTTCTGGTCGCTCCAGAGGCCGCAATAATGGCCCGAACATCGTGAAATTTTCCATGGAGAAGGGGATCGGGCCAAAGAATAAGCATGCCTGTTTGGAGAAAGATCGGTCAATATTTAGCGGGTCAAATTGACCCTGACTTTCGTGTGAAAAATGACAAAATTTGTATTCTATAGCGTATATTTTTATCCCTGAAGGACATAGACCCGAGAAGTTGATATTATATTCAAGAGGAGTGGTTGACCTTTAAATTAATATCAATTATATTGTTGTATGTGCTCGAATGTGGGAGTTAAACCTAAATATTTACAGGTATCTCCGTATTCGTATATTATTTAGTAACCCATTATCACTCTAGAGAGCGGAACTATAGCGCTGATCGCTTTGAAATGTTCCAGGTATGGTCAAGAACAACGCCTATAAATTTCGGTGATAATCAGATAATAATTTTGGAATGAAGTGGACCAAAAACTTAATTTTTGTTTTATTTTCGAGTCGATCTATAGACCACAAATGAAAGCCGAATATCACAACACAACCCACCGTGAAGGACAATAGCTGTACTGAATACTCATAATATTCGGAAAATATGTCAGTGTGAGGAAGAGGTGATGTTTCCTTCTAATCGGACAAGAGGGTGCAAATATCACGAAATATTGCCCAGGCTCGGAATAAACATCCGCAGAAAATTTGAGTTCCGTGGTAGTTGTGTAGGGTATCGTATGGTCGGCCCCGTCCGACTATACTGCTCCGCTCGTTGGTTTTTTCTTCGAATTAAGTAGACAGAAGTCAATTCATATGTTTAAAAAATCCCCCAATATTTTTTTGCAACATCTGTTATCAGTCGCAAAGAAAGTACAAAAACAAAACTGGAAATATGTCAGAGAAAGATTACTTTGGATGCTGGGATTCCCATATATTTTTGTTCTTTATTCGAAAGACAAACGTTCATATGGCCGATGCCTATGCCAATTATAAGAATTGTTATCTTTAGGGTTGTTTAATTTTTGTGACCTAACAAAATTAAATTAAAAACCAGAGAGCGGAGCAGTATAGTCGGACGGGGCCGATCATATGATACCCTACACAACTACCACGAAAAGCACACCTTCGGCGGTTCTATATTCTGAGCCTGAGCAATATTTCGTGATATTTGCACCCTTTTTAACGATTATAGATCAACAACTCCTTTTTCTAAGTCTTGCATATTTTCCAAAATGTTTTTTCTTGAAGTGCATTTTTACGCCATACAATAAAAAATTGGTCACTTTAGGTTTTGGTTGATTTGACCCTCGGAAAATTGACCGATCATCATCTAAACAGCGCGCTCTAAGTATTTGGTCAGATCCCCTTCACCTTGTAAAATATGTGATGTTCTGTATATAATAATTGCCTCTAGAGCGACTAGAAAATCTGACAAAATTGTCATATCTCGACTAGCTGAGTCGATCTAGACATGTGTGTCCGTCCGTCCGTCTGTCCATTAAAATTTGTAAACACGATACAGGCCACAGTTATGGACCAATCTTCACGAAATTTTGCATGTAGGATGGGTTCTGGCCAATGAAGACCCCTATTGTTTTTTGAAAAGATCGGTTAATAATTAGGGGATGAAATGGACCAAAAACTTTATTTTTGTCGATTTTTCCGATGGCCCAAACACCGTGAATTTTTGCATGGAGAAGGGGATCGGGAAAAAGGATAAGCACGCCTGTTTTGATAAAGATCGGTCAATATTTAGCGGGTCAAATGGACCCTGACTTTTGTGTGAAAAATGACAAAATTTGTATCCTATAGCGTATAAATTTACCCCTGAAGAATATAAACCCGGAAAGTTGATAGTATACCCGAGAGGAGTGGTTGACATTTAAATTGATACCAATTATATTGTCGTATGTACTCGGACGTGGGAGTTACACTTAAATGTTTACAGGTACTTACGTACTCAGATATTATTTAGTAATTCATTACCACACTAGTGGGCGGAAAATAGCGCTCATCGCTTTGAAAATTTTCACTAGTGTCCAGGTATGGTCAAGGACAATGCCTATAATTTTTGTTGATGATCAGATAATAATATTGGGATGAAGTGGACCGAGTCAATCTACAGTCCACAATTTTTTTCGAGTTTATCTACAGTCCACAATTGAAAGCCGAACATCACAAAACAACCCACTTTGAAGGAAATCTGGACAAGTAATTAGAAGGACTGTACTGAATAGTAGTAATATTTGTTGACCTCTAGTAGGTCAAGAGGGTGCAAACATCGCGAAATATTGCCCATGCTCAGAATGTGGTGCTACAGAAAGTTAGATGTTCATGGAAGTTGTGTAGGGTATCATATGGTCGGCCCGTCCTACTATACTGCTCCGCTCACTGGTTTGCTGTAAAATTCCGTATTTCCGAAAAAAGCCTCACATCAACGAAAGTCTGTCGGCAACACCGTCTTATACTTTTTACTGGTGTTTATACCCTTCACCACCTTTGGTACAGAGCAAAAGGAAACGAAATAGATACATGGTTCCTTTTGAGAATATGTATATCATTTTCTGTGTCCATTTATGCATGTCCGTCCGTCAGTCTGTCCGACTCTCAATGTTAAATTGTAAACAAACCATGGGTCACATTTATGATCCGAATTGTATGAAATTGGCACATCTCATTTATTTTGCATTTTATCGTTAGCTAAAATGCAAAAAGGCGTAACTAACAAAAAAAAATTAAAATTGACTTTTTGAATGAATATTGTGAATGTCAATAAACTACATGTGTTGACAAAGTTTTACACGTCTGCGGTCAAAAAAGGAGCTTCTATTAACAAAAAACAAAAAGACGTAACTACAAGTGGGTTTATTTGGTAAATGCAAAAAGGCGTAACTAACAAAAATTGTTATGACTGCCATTAAACTAAATAACTAAATTTGTTAAAAAAATATATAGTCTACTATTCGTCATATGCAATATCACCCTGCCGGGTGATTCACATGATATGTTTATAGTTTTCATTCAAAACTGTTTTTGCTTCTCCTACACAATTATGCTTTTGTTAGTTACGCCTTTTTGCATTTTAGCTAACAATATATTGACCTATATAGAGCAAAGACCTAAAGTTGTTGCTAACTCTAAAGTTGACCAAGAAAAAGGATTATATCTTTGTTTGCGGGTACTATAGGTTATTTTTGAGAAGACACTTCTTCAGCCAAATCGAACGAGGCATACTTATACCCTACAAAACTATGTTGTCAGGCTATTATAGCTTTTTGTGGCCCCAAGAGTTTGTAACTCCACCAGATGTTAGTCCGACTAGCTGAGTTGATCTAGACATGTGTATCCGTCTGTCCATTATAATTTATAAACACGGCCCCATCCGACTATACTACTTCTCTCACTGATTTTTATACCATAATAAAGTGGAGTGTATATTAAATATGTCATTCAGTTTGCAAAAGATCGAAATATTCACCGGAGACCATAAAGTATATTTATTCCTAATCTGAAATTTTGCACAGACATTGCTAGTTTGCCTAGG